ATTTTCTTGCCTCCTTAGTGGTAGATTAATTGACCATATAAGCCTGGGCTTATTTCTGGGCTCTTTATTCTGTTCCTTGATCTCTGTATCTGTTTTTGTGCCAATGCCATACTGTAGTGATACAGTAGTTTTATAGTATAATTTGAAATCCAGGAGTGTTTATCCTGCAGCTTTGTTCTTTCTTGAGGTTGCTTTGGATATTTGGGGTCTTTTGTGGTTCCTACAAATTCTAGGAGTATTTGTTCTAGTTCTGTGAAAAATGCCATTGGTATTTTGACAGGGATTGCATTGAATCTACAGATGCTTTGGGCAGTATGGACATTTTAACAATATTAATTCTTCTAACCCATGAGCATGGTATATCTTTTTTATTTATGTGTATCTTCTTCAAACTCTTTCATTAATGCCTTATAGTTTTTAGAGTATAGATCTTTTACCTCCTTGGTTAAATTTATTACTAGGCATTTTATTCTTTCTGGTGCAATTGCAAGTGAAATTGTTTTCTTAATTTCTCTTTTTCATAGTTACTAGTGTACAGAAATGCAGCATTTCTTCTGTATGTTAATTTTGTACCCTGGAACATTACCAAATTCATTTATTAGTTGTATTAGCTTTGGAGTGGAGACTAAAGTTTTCTATGTATAGTATAATGTTATGTATGAATAATGACAGTTTTACTTCTTCCTTTCCAGTTTGCATCCTTCTAATTTTTTTTCCTCACCTAATTATGTGACTAGGATTCCAGTACTATATTGAATAAAAGTGGTAAGAGTGGGCCTCCTTGTCTTGTTCTTGATCTTGAAGGAAAAGTTTCTCTCAACTTTTTTCATTGTTGAGTATGATATTAGCTGTGGGTTTATCATATATAGTCTTTGCTATGTTGAGATAAATTCTCTCTGTACCCACTTTATTGAGTTTTTATACTAAATATGTGTTGCATTTTGTCAAATGCTCTTTCCGTATCTGTTGAGATGGTCAAATGATTTCTTATTCTTTGTTTTGTTAATGTGCTGTATCACATTGAATCGATTTGTGAATATTGAACCATCCTTGCATCCCAGGAATAAATCTCACTTGATCATTCTGCATGATCCTTTTAATGGATTGTTGAATTCAGTTTGCTAATATTTTATCGAGAATTTTTGCCTCTGTCTCTATCAGGGATATTGGCCTGTAATTTTCTGTTTTTGTATTGTGTATGTTTGGTTTTGGTATCAGGGTAATGCTGGCATCATAGAATGAACTTGGAAGCATTCCTTCCCTCCTCTTAGTTTTTGGAGTAGTTTTAGAACAGATATTAACTCTTCTTTAAATGTTTGGTAGAATTCACCGGTGACACTGTCTGGTCCTGGAAGTTTGTTTGTGAGAGTTTTTGATTACTGACTCAATTTCATTACTAATAATGGATCTGTTCAGATTTTCTATTTCTTCTTGATTGAGCCATGGAAGATTGTTCTTTGGAATTTATCCATTTCTTCTATATTGTCCCAATTGATATATAATTGTTCATAGTAGTCTTTTATGACTCTTTGTATTTCTGTTGTATCAAATATAACTTCGTTCATTTTTTATTTATTTGAGTCCTCTCTTTTTCTTTTTTTTTAAATGTTTACTTTTGAGAGAGAGAGACAGAGACAGAGCATGAGTTGGGGGGGCGGGGGAGGGGTAGAGAGTGGGAGACACAGAAACCACAGCAGGCTCCAGGTTCTTGGCTGTCAGCACAGAGTCTGCACGGGGCTCAAACTCATGAAGCGCGAGATCATGACCTGAGCCAAAGTCAGACACTTAACTCACTGAGCCACCCAGGTACCCCGAGTCCTCTTTTTTTCTAGATCAGTCTTTCCAGAGGTTTATCTTTTCAAAGAATGAGTTCTTAGTTTCACTAACCCTTTCTTTTTTATTTTAGTCTCTAATTAATTTATTTCTACTCTGATCTTTATTATTTCCTCCTTTCTAACTTAGGGTTTTGTTTGTTCTTCTTTTTCTAGTTCCTTTAGGTGTAAGTTTAGATTATTTATTCGAGATTTTTCTTCTTTCTTGAAAAGGACTTGTATTACTCTAAACTTCCCTCTTAAAAATGCTTTTGCTACATCCCATAGATTTTGGAGTATTGTATTTTCATTTTCATTTATCTCAAGGCATTTAAAAAAATTTCTTCTTTGTTGTTTTTTGTTGTTATTGCTGACCCATTGGTTGTTCAGTAGCATGTTATTTTGTCTCTGCATGTATGTGGTTTTGTGTGTGTGTGTGTTTGTTTTTTGTTTTATTTTTTTTCCAGTTTTCTCCTGGTAGTTGGTCTCCAGTTTTAGACTGTTGTGGTTGGAAAAGATGCTTGATATGGTTTGAATCTTCTTAAATTTACTGAGACTTGTTTGTGGCCTAGCAGCCTGTATCTCTCCTAGAGAACATTCCACATATACTTGAGAAGAAATATGTATTCTGCTGTTTTTGGATGGAAGACTCTGTATATATCTGTTAAGTCCATCTGGTCTAACATGTGGTTTAAGGCCACTGTTTCCTTATTAGTTTTCTGTCTGGATGATCTAAGTGGGATGTAAAGTCCCCTACGATTAATGTATTACTGGCAGTTTCTCCCTATTTATTAACACCTGCTTTGTGTATCTCGATGCTCCATTGTTGGATGCATAGATACTTACAAATGTTAAATCTTTTGTTGGATTGCTCCTTTTATCATTATGTAATGCCCTCCCTTGTCTCATGATATAGACTTTGTTTTAAAGTATATTCTGTCTGGGGCACCTGGGGGGGCTCAGTCAGTCATGCAACTGACTCTCAATTCTGGCTTAGGTCATGATCTCGCAGTTCACGAGATTGAGTCCTACATCGGGCTCTGTGCTGATATCCCTACTTGGGATATTCTCTCTCTCTCTCTCTCTGTCTCTCTCTCTCTCTGTCTCTTCCCTGCTTATGCTGTCTCTCTCTCTTTCTCAAAATAAATGAATAAACATTTTTTAAGAATTTAAAGTATATTCTGTCTGATATCTGTTGCTACCCCAGCTTTATTTTTGTTTCTATTTGCATGGACTGTCTTTAACTATCCCTTCACTTTTGGTCTGTGTGTGCTTTTAGGTCTGAAGTGAGTCTCATGTAGGCAGCATGCAGATGGGTCTGTTTGTTTGTTTGTTTATTTATTTTCCATTCAGTCATCCTATGTCTTTTTTCCTGGAGCATTTAGTCCATTTACATTTCAAGTAATTATCAATAGGTGTATATTTATTGCTGTTTTGTTTACTGTTTGCTGGTTGTTTTTGTAGTTCTTTGTTTCTTCTCTTCTTTGTGGTTTTTCTTTAGTGTTATGTTTGGAATTCTTTTCTCTTTATTTTTTGGATATTTATTACAGGTTTTTGGTTAGTGGTTACTGTGAAGTTCATATATAACAACCTATGTGCATAGCAGTCTATTTTAAGTTGGTGTTTGTTTAAGTTCACATGCATTCTATATTTTAACACCCTTGCCACCCACTTTTATGTGTTCAGTGCCATATTTTGCATCTTTTTATTTTGTGTGTTTCTTAAGTAATTCTTGTAGATTTAATTGATTTTTTTGCTTTTGTCTCCTAATCTTCAGACTACTTTGTGAGTGATTGGCCTCCGCTACCTTCTGGGTTGCATATCCTACTATAAGCTTGCCTTTAGCAGTGAGATTTTTTTCTAATTATGGCTTTTTCATTTTTACTTAAAGCAGTCCCTTTAATATTTCTTATAAAGCTATTTACTGTGGGTGAACTGCTTTAGCTTTTGCTTCTCTGGGAAACCCTTTATCTCCCCTTTAGTTCTGAATGATAATCTTGCTGGATAGAGTGTTCTTGGTTTACGTTTTTTTCATTTCAGCATTTTGACTATATCATGACACTTCTCCCTGGCCTGCAAAGTTTATGTCAAAAAATCAGCTTGTGGTCTTATGGGGGTTCCTTTATATGTAACTAGTTGATTTTCTCTTGATGCTTTTAAGATTCTCTCTTTAATTTTTGGCAGTTTAATTATAATGTGTCTTATTGTGGAACTCTTTGGGTTTATCTTTTTTCAAACTCTCTGTGCTTCCTGGACCTGGATGTCTGTTTCCTTTACCAGGTTAGGGAAATTTTCACCTGTTATTTTTCAGGTGAGTATTCTGCCCCTTTCTCTTTCTTTTCTCCTTCTGGAACCCCTATAATGTGAATGTTAACATGCTTGATGTCGATGTCCTAGAGGTTCCTTAAACTATCTTAATTTTTTAAAATTCTTTTTTCTTTTTGCTGTTCAGTTTGGGTAATTTCCATTACCCAGGCTTCCAGATCGCTGATCTGTTCTGTGTCCCCCAGTCTGCTGTTGATTCCTGCTAGTGTGTTTTTCATTTCAGTTAATTGTATTCTTCAGCTCTGACTGGTTCTTTCTTATATTTTCTATGTTTTTGTTGATGTTCTCACTGTATTCACCCATTGTTCTCTCAAGTCCATTGGGCATCTTTATAACCATTACTTTGAACTCTTCAGGAAGAATGCTTACTTCCATTTCATTTAGTCTTTTTTGAGGCCTTGTCTTTTTCTTCTGTTTGGAACATATTATTCTGTGTCTTAATTTTGCCTGACCCTGGGGCGCCTGGGTGGCTCAGTTGGTTAAGCATCCAACTTCAGCTCAGGTCATGACCTCACGGTTCATGGGTTTGGGCCCCGCATCAGGCTCTGTGCTGACAGCTCGGAGCCTGGAGCCTGCTTCAGAATCTGTGACTCCCCTTCTCTCTGTCCCCTCCCCAGCTCATTCTCTGTCTCTGTCTCTCAAAAAATAAATAAACGTTAAAAAAAATTTTTTTTTTAATTTTGCCTAACTCTGTGTTTGTTTCTGTGTATAAGGTAATTCAGCTATGTCTTTTGGTCTTGAAGGAATGTCCTTTCATAGGAGATGCCCTGTGGGGTCTAGAAGCTCGGTCCCCCTCACCACCAGAGTCAGCTGCTCCAGGTGTGTTCTCTTTGTGGGCTGCATGTGCCCCTCTGTTGTGGCCAGGCCTCCATTGCAGGGGGCTTGCTGCTGGGCAGGGCTGGCCTGCAGCCTGGGACTGCTGCAGGTACGCTAGGGATAGCAGCCTCTGGGCTGCGGGGTTTGAGGAGGAATGGGATTGTGCAGGGCTCTTAGCAGAACATGCCTCCTGGCCTTAGCAGTCCACAGGAACAGTTTCAAAATGGCGCCTGCTAGTGCCAGGATCAGCAGAGCTGAATGAGACAGCAAAATGGCTAATACCAGTGGAGGGGCCCAGCTGCCTCCTGCCTACCTTGGAAGCCCTCAAGATTAGTAAATGAGTCTCCTTTACCTATAATCTATGCACTTTTCATTCTAGAGCCTTTGTACTCATTTCCAGGTCTAGTGAGTCTATGCGTAAGCCCTCTAAGAGTGGGTTTTTCTTTCCCTACAGTTGTATAGTTTTCCTGAATTTACTCCCTATTGGTTTTCAAAGCCAGGTATTAAAAAAAATTTTTTTTTAATGTTTATTTATTTTCGAGAGAGTGTGAGCAGGGGAGGGGCAGAGAGAGGGGGAGACAAAGAATCTGAAGCAGGCCCCAGGCTCTGAGCTGTCACCAGAGCCCCATGTGGGACTCAGACCAGCAAACTACAAGATCATGACCTGAGCCGAAGTCAGATGCTTACCTGACTGAGTCACCCAAGTGCTCCTCAAAGCCAAGTGTTTTAGGGGCTTCTTGCTCCTGTGCAGGATCTAAGTGTTGGCAAGCCTGGTTTGGAGCTCAAATCTCTTGTTCCTTAGAGAAAATTTTCTTACTGTTAAGGCCCCTTCTGACTGTGGAGCTCCATGGCTGGGGGTGTGGGGTTTTTTCCCCCTTACTGAGACTGTATCTCTACCCCTTCTACCCATCTTCATGCCATCGCTTTTGTGGTGGGTTCTCTGTCCAGTTTCTAGGTCTCCTTCTGTATGTAGATGAAGATTTGTTGTGTCAGTGGGACTCCTCCTGAGCTCCGTATCTTCTTATGCTGCCATCTTGAGTCCTTTTCCAGAGCCTTTGTTCTTGGCCGTCTTAGGCATTGTAATTATTATAGATGATTTAGAAAATGCATGAAAGTACAACCAAGCATACCGATAATCCCATCGTTTTCTGTGCAGAAATAGTAAATCAAGGGGAAGAATTTATAAAATAACTAAAATATCAAACTACTAATGGTTTTTGCGGGGAGGAGCTCAGTGATTTCTAGTGGAATCCTGTGAAACCTAAAATCGTTATTTCGGGGATTCACAAAGCCTAAATTAGTTCCTTTGATGTCTTTCTTAAAATTAATGTATTAGTTATGATAGGCTAAACTGCTGTGTCAACTAGACCCTATTGTGTAATTCCTTATTCCCTTGACAGCCGCGGGCAGGTGTTCAGATGGGCGGCAAGAAGAGTCTCCTTCGTTCTGCCAGCCAGAGCCTAGAATTCTGCCATCACATGGCTCTCCCATCCTCTGTTGTCTCGTCCTACACCCACCATCAGCACGTGGGAAGGGAGAACACCCAAGGGGGTCTCTGGGCCAGCAGGAAGGGGCGGAACCCCCCCTCCCCCTCCCATCCCTCTGGCCAGAACTTAGTCACATGGCCATACCTGCCTGTGAGTGAGCTGCGAGATGTAGTCTGGTTGTGAGCCTGAGAAGAGGCGAGATGGATCTTGTGGTTCGCTCGCAACCTCTGCCTCGCTTGTTTCTCCTGGAGCATCTGCAGAACGTTTGCATGGCCGTATTGCCCTGTTCATTCCAGTGAGTCCTGTCCGTGGAATCCTTGAAGATTTCCTTGAAGAGATTTGCTGGCTATGCTTATGAAATATGTGCCATTTCTATGGCCGAGAAGGAGTTTATTGGTTTACCTTTTAAGGATAAATGGGGTTTGAACATGGCAAGGATTCTCTGTAGGCACAGACGGAAGTAGCTGTCCTTCCTGCAGTAAGAAAATGGAGAGGCTCTTCTTTGTGAACCTTTTGTATGAATTCTTGGGGACCCAGGAAGTGCAGCTTCTGTTCTTTAAGAACCAAGAGATCTTTATATACTGTTTTTAATTGAAAAAAAAATGTCTTATTTATTTTTTGAGACAGAGAGTGTGAGCAGGGGAGGAGCAGAGGGAGAGGAGGGCAGAGGATCCAAGGCGGGACTCCATGCTGACAGGCTGTCAGTGAGGAGCCCGATGCAGGGCTCGAACTCGTGAATCGTGAGATTGCGACTTGAGCCGAAGTTGGACGCTCAACCAACTGAGCCACCCAAGTGCCCCAGAACCGAGAGATCTTTATAAAAGGGCTGGGTGAGTTCCATGGCTAAACTGTGGTTCAGTGGTCACTCTCAAGCCCTGAGAGTCTGAGTCCGTTTTTCTTCATTGGATTTCCAAGAAGAGTCTTTTTTTTTTTT